GTAAAACGGGATGGCAACCGGTCTTATTCGTGGAGGAATAACCTCTGAGCTTCGAGTCCCTCCTGCGACATGGTCCGTGCAGTTGGGTGGGACTGTGGCTCCCATTTCTCATCATTCACGAGGCCAGCACTGATTTATAGGATACTGAATTGCTGGTGCTGGAGGACACGGGAACTCACATTTCCACCAACCCACGAGCATATAACTTGGTTTGATATATGCTCCTGTCTGAAAACACCTTGTTATCCTGAGTCGCTGGGTCATTAGCATAGAGCCTGCTCCAGGAGGCAGTACTGTAATGCTGCCAGAAACCAGCCCCTCTTACAGGCTTCTCTGCGTCATGTGGTCACGCATGCTCGGGGTACCAGACAGCTACAGCACCCTGATGGCGGCCCCTGAAATGCCAAATCAGCACCAGAACGTCCAGAAATGCTAACCATATGGCCCTAAATAGATTGGGAAATATTTGCACCATGAGTAAAGTAAGCAGGAATGCATAGAGCAGTCTCGTTTGGCCTCAGTTGGGAATGAGTGTCAAACGTCATCATTGAACTCAAATTTGTCACCCCTTTGGCACCTGAAGCTGGCATTCTGATGGCCTGGAGCAACTACCCTAAGTGGGTCTCCCTGCTCTTGGCCTTGGTAGGAAAAAGGAGGTGCGGAGATCCTGGAAGTTGTACAAGTCGCCAGGACACAGAGGTCCCCTTCAGCTCACCCCTTCCATGCTCAAGAAGGGGGTGTCAGGGAGAAGGAATTCTCTCACTGTTGAGATTTGTCACTAATTTCACCTCTGCTTCTCTGGGGCCTGCCCACAGTTGGTGCCCACCCACTCACCCCTGGCCCTGTCCATGGGGCTCAGCTAAATTTCTCCCACTGTGGCCCCTGAGTCCCTGGAGGGCAGGGTGGGCGCTCAGGGATCAGTCCAGATCTGTTGCTTGTTCCATTTCAATGGCCACACAAATCACAAAGACCTTCTGGAAACTGGGCAATATGTTCTTGGCACCCTCACAGACCTATATTTCTTCTCTTCACACAGGGTCCAGCCTTGTGAGAAAGGAAGAGGGTAGGAGGGAAAGTGTGGTGATATCTTTCTTGCACAAATAAAGCCCGTCTGGGGGTCAGAGAATGGAGCTTGCCACTAGCTGACCATAGAGGTCTGGAGATCTGTACGGACAGACAGGAAGTGATGTAGCTGGGCAGAAGCAGGCTATAAGCAGGGAGAAACAGGAAGTCGCTCTCTTCTCTGCTGAGACGCTTAGGAGGTAAGGTGTGCTGTGGCTTGCTTCTTCTCTGATCTCTCAGCATTTCCCTCTATATCTGACTCCAGCCTTTTATTATCTAGACCAATTAAGGACTCCTTTTATTGGGAAGCCCTGTCGCTGCCTTGAACTTAACAAAAGTATTGAAGCACCATAGCCCGACCTGGCCAGTGGAGGGTCTGCATCATACTGCGCTTCTTTGGCTACATGTGAAGAGAACCAGAAGGAAGGATAGACTCTCAGGCATCCTAGAGACACGTGCGAAGGAAACACGAAGGTGCTCAGCAGGAAGTGGAAGATGCTCAGCAGGAAGTGGAAGGTGCTCAGCGGGAAGTGGAAGGTGCTCAGCAGGAAGTGGGAAGTGCTCAGCGGGAAGAATGGGAACTGCTTAAGCAGCCAGTGAAAGCTCAGTTCCATAGTCTCCAGGAAGGTCTGGGTGGAGTCAGCAAAATCGCTGTTCCCAAAAGAATTGTGACAGGTGCAAAACAGGAGTGAAGAGCAACAATGTCAGATTTGCCCTCAGAGGCGCCACAAAGGCCACCAGGGGTCAGACTGTGCTAGGTGGTGTCAGTCTTTAAATGAAGTGGCCAAAGAGCGCCTTTTATGGTCACAGTTGGACTCATGGCTTGGGATAGCTCTTGTTCTTAATCAGGCAACCTCGGGCATCCTCGCTGGCCTCGGAGTCCACGCCCTCCCAGTAGAGTTAATTATAACACATCTAGTAATCCCGAGGGTCGGCATCAAAGTCACGCAGCTGTCAGCTGGAACTCGCCGTGAACTGGGCCACAAACACCCTCAGATTCTGCTGACACCACCATCCCCATTCCACAGTCGGGAAGGAGATGCTTCAGGCTGCGGCAGATTCCAGACCAGGGTGTCCAACTGTGGGGCTCATTCCAGCAGGGGCCCTTAAGGGGAGCCGGGGTGGCCGGCTCTGCAGGGAGGTCAACGATGAAGCCTTAGACCTGAGTGCCTGACTGAGCTGGGCGGCCAGGGAAAGCCAAGTGACTACCAACTCGGCGGCCAAGCAGACAAAAGCAGTTTGCAGGGAAGTGCAGCACCAAGAGGGGCGACTAAGAAAAGAAGTGACAACACGCTCTTTTCCATCCTGTGAGTTCAAGCCGTGGGCTGCCGGGGCCACACACGGGCTCCCTGAGGGATCAAGGTGGCTCTTTTCAGCCACAGCCCTCAGGCTCACCCAAGCCAAACCAAATCACGAGCTGTGGTGTTGAGCCTAGAAGCCAACTCCTGCACCCTGCCCTGACTCCAGTACTGCGCCTCTGAAGTGGAGAGTGCCTCAACGGGCTCCAGACAGGTGTCTCCAGCACCTGCTCTCTGCCCACTCTCCACAACCCATGCTCATGCTGTGCTGATGCCCTCAGCAGGGCCAGGGTGCAGAGCTAAACCTCATTGGCCACCTGAGGGCTCATATCATCTCCATCTCCCCAGATCCACCCTTGGAACATTCTCTCCCTTTCTGGTGTGCCTTGAATCCAGAGGGCTTTGGGCTCTGTGGCTCTGAGAGACTGGAGAAAAGGAGGGAGGGTCCGAGCCATGACATCTCCAACTTGAACAGTGCTTGTCCTCAAAGCTAGCCTCCAGTAGCCACCGTGCCAGCTTTCCTACCCTGATGAACTTAGCACAGGGAAGCCAAGTGAGACATCAGTACACATACTGCAGTGATCTGAAAGCTTGTGCACTCCAAAATATGTGTGTTGGTGCCTAACCTGCAAGGAGATAGTACTGGGAATGGGAGCTAATGTGGTCATAAGGGGAGAGTCCTCAGAAGGCAGGTAGGGCCTATGAAGTTAATGCTGACTGTCAGCTTAATGGGACTTAGTGTTGCCGTGGAGACAACCTCTGGGTTTGTCTGCGAGGGACTTTTTAGAGTTGGTTAGCTGACTCAGAAGGATGCATTTTAAAGGTGGGTGGCACCATCCCACGGGCTGAGGTCCCTGACTGGGTGAAAAGGAGAGAGGAAGAGCAAGGGCAGGCTGAGTCCTGCCACCCCTGACTGGCCAGCCACCTCACAGTCTTGCTGCTGTGACTTCTACCATGACAGACTGTGTCCCCTCAAACTGTGAGGCAAAATAAACCCTTTCCTACTTCAGTCGCCTCTCGTCCAGTGTTTTGTTAGAAGCGGTGAGAAAAATAACAACACAAAGCCCTTACGGAAGGGAGGCCCCAGAGACCTCCCCTTTCCCTCCCCCGTGTCCACGCTCAACAAGGAAGCCTTGTCTACGAAGCAGAAAGGCCCTCACTGGACACAGAACTTCCCGGCCACCCTGATATTGGATGTCAGCCTTCAGAGACAGTCTTCATACGCAGCCTATTCGTGGCATGTTGCTCCAGCAGCCCGGATAGACTCCAGCATGCAGCGGCAGGGGGAGTCCTTCCATTTTAAGGGACAGTTGCCTCTCTGGCACAATGTCTCCGACACTACGTGGACCCAGGCAGATCCTGCGAGAGCATCGGGGGCAGAGAGATGCTCTCCCAGGCTCTATTCCTGGGGCCCAGCTGCTGCTGACTCATGGCTGTACCGCGACCTGTCCATGTGGGGCGTGACTCAGGCAATGTCACTCATCCCAACTCATGTTACCTGCCCGGAGACCAGCTGGGTGTCCCCTCGCCCAGGCTTTACCCACCCTACTCGAGTAGCCTTCACCCAGATGCTTAGCACTGCCCTCCGCCCCTTTCATCCCCACCTGCCAGGCACCCTCTGTCTCCCCAACTGCCCACCCATTGCAGATGAAGTTATCCCAGGAACTGGCAGGCCCAGTGTGGGACCAGGGCCAATGTCCAGAGTCACACAGGCATGGCAGGCCCAGACAGGCTTGCTACACCCTCAGGCAGGCAGCAAAATAGCACCACCGCCACCTAGAGGATAGCCCCCTGGACAGCCCCATCTGGAAAAAGGGAACCTGTACCATCTCAGGTGCACCCCACCCAACCTTGGGGGCTCTTGGCGGCTCTTCCTCTGGGCCTCTCCCCTTTGTCTTCAGGTAACTGGACCCTGGCATTGGCCTGTGGTGATGTTTCATATGGCGAGAAGTTGGATGTGACCCTAAGCGTAGGCTCTGCCCTCAGGCTGGGAGGGCTTGACAGCAATAATGCCTATTCCACTACCAGTGTAATTCACAGAGACCCACCTACTCCTCTACTTGTTCATGTTCTGTCAAGACAAATGGAATCCATGAGCAGAGCAGCTGAGGTGGGTTCCTGAGCACACCGTGACCAGGCACGTGTCCTGTGATGGATGCCCAGGAAACATCAGTGGGCCAGGAGCAAACGGCAGAGAGCAAGAGTCACACACAGATCAGATAGGTGCCTGATGCTGTGGAGGGGAATCCCGGAGCTGAGGCAGAGGCCTCCGTTGTTCCCTTCCCTTCTGAGGGCCTGGGGACTGCTGCGGCACCCTTGGCCCTGAGGCAGCCCCTTCAAGCCTGCCTTAGTGCCCAGTGAGTGTGCCTGCAGCTCTGCTGCCGCCACAGTGCCCTTAGTCCCCGGATGGATGTGTCTGTGGAGCTGGTGGGAGCCATTTCCTTCCACACCCATCTGACACCTCGGCTCCTGGAACAACTCGTCATAGGTGGCCAGATCTGTGTGCTCCCCCATTAGCCTGGGCTGGGAGAACGCACCCCCATTCTCATGGTCTCTTGTGGGGGGCTATTGTGCCTTCTGCTGACCCAGTACACCCCTGTGTTGTGTGATGTATTCTTGACAAATGAAGCTTGCTCGGAGTCAGAGGGCAGCGCTAAAGATGAATTAGATAGTGCTGGGCAGGGAGTCTCCTGGGAACACCTCTCCTGGGGCTCCAGACATGACAACGACAGCTTCCAAAGGAGCCAGCTTCCAGAGTAGCCGGCAAAGCAACTCCAGGATTCATTCGTTTGTTCCCTTCCTACCAGGAAGTCCCACCAGTCACAGCTTTGCACTTCTAGCCAGCCTTTCCAACTGTGGAACCTCCTGGGGGTGTGGGACTCAGCCCATTCTTCCTGGACCCCTCAACTCCTTTGCGGGGATGAATCTCCGTGGAAGGACAGAGCGAGTTTACCTTTTCTTCTTACGTACGCACTAGCAGGGCCTGGAGAAGCTGCCAAGCTCGGACCACTAACCTTTCAGCACCCTCTGGTCACACCCCAGACCAGCGGCATTCCCGGAGGACCTGTGTCACAAGAAAGGCGCTGTCACCAAATGTGTTTGGCCTTGGCTCCCCGAGAATCAGAGCCCAGCGAATCCAGGGGAGGCCAGGCTAAGCTGGCTGGACTTGGTGTCAGACCCAGAATCCTCCTGCTCCTTCATGGGTTCCTCACTTGCCCTTCAAACAAGGTCCTGCCCCCAGAGAGAAGGAAACCACGTTTGCAGCAGAGAGACTCATCAAACCAACCGACACTAGAAGGTGAGGTCACAGCAAGAACACTCCCTGAGGCCAGCAGTGATTTTCTTAACACGTGCTGGGTTGCATCAGGGACCTTGTCACACTGACATCCTCCTTACCCTTGATCTCTAGACAGCTTGATCTGAGGCCAATATCGACACACCTCACAGGTGTCCCACACACTCTGACCTTCCACAAGGCACAGAGATGGAAGAAGCAGTGCCCTCCAGCCCTCGGAGAGCTGGGAAACCGCGTCCTGCCAGCAGCACCAAAACTCCTGGAAAGAGATCCAAAAGCCTAGAAGAGAAAAAGAAGACAAGTGGCGAAGGGACTTGACGGGGGATGGGAAAACAGTCTGACAAATGAAATTTGAAATAGAAAACATTTCTGAAGGTTTAAAAATCCCAGTTTGGGATTGAGTAGAGACCCCAGGCAAGGCTAGTGAAGACACAGGTTGTATTGCTGGGTTCGGAGCCCCCAGGGAAGTCACCTAAGCACAGCAGAGGTTTCCTTCTTCCTGTAAACATCCTAAGACCCAGACCCCTTCCATCTTGTTGCTCTGTCATCTTCACAGTGCTGGGTTTTTTTCCAACTCGAGGCCCAAAACCACTGCCCCACCTGCCTCCCTCCTGCCCACTCATTTCTACTCCCCTGCTCCAGAATTTGAAGTCAGCCCTTCTTAACACACCACAGGTGAGGTGTGGTGGGTGGGGTCCTTAGCCTGCCCCTCACCACCACCACAGAGAAAGTCACCCTGCCAAGCCCCACACAAATTCTGCCTGTCCAGCCTCCCCTGCCCCAGGCTCTGCTTATGGCCACACTCAGGTAGCCTGGCTGGCTCTCGGCCTGCCTTTGCGGCTTTTACTGGAGCCAAGTGGTTGTGGCATCTCTGACAGGAAGGCCCCTTGCTCTAAGAGAATGGGAAGAGCAAACAGAGCCACTTCCCCCAGGGAAGGGTTAACCCACTTTGTGTGCGGCTGGCCCTGTGACCCTCTGAGCACGGCATGAGGCCTAGTGACCATGAGCCAAACTGAGCTAGGCTGCTCACAAAAGCCTAAACTAACTGTGTTGCCCGTCAGTAATCAGTTTCTTTCCCTCTAATTGATCAATCACTGAGGGACAATCAGTTTCTGCCCTTCGCGCCAAGATGATTAAATCCTTGCTACCAAGACGATTAAATCCCCACTCAAAGAGCAGAAAGAAACCTGATGTCTTGACTGCCCCGGGAAAATGCTTCTGGGGCGTGGCAATCCTGTGTAGCACCACCCATGCCAGACCCAGGCTCTCTGGATAGGACGCTACTGAAGGCTGCAGAGTTAGTCAGCAGCATCTGGCCCTGCTTGACCCTGGGAGCCTCATCCTCAAACCCTTGCTGCTATGGCGCCTAATGACACATGATGACAGGCCACCACCTGCCTGTGGCACCTGACAGGAAAGAAATGAGCAGGCGAGTCTCTAAAAGGCCTAGTGCAGAGTCCCCACCGGGCACACTCAGAAACTTGTGATTTTTCTCTCACTTATAAACTGAAGAGTTGATTTTGGGAAACTGCAGCCTGTTAGCCTCTCTCACTGATAGGTCTCTGAAAGGCACCTCCCTCTGAGAAGGGCAGTGCCATCCCCTTCACCCACAGACCTCCCATCAGGGCCTCTGCTGAAGTGGGTTTTGCAGAGGATCTGCTCACAGAGGGAAGAGAACGGTTGCAGGAGATGGGGGGCCGGGGGAGCGGGGGGGAGGGAGCGGACGGGCAGGGCGAATGCTTTTCCTCCTGGGTTACAGGGTCTGAGGTTTGCTGTAGGTGTTGGCCTTGGATGCCCACCCACTGCTAAAGGACGCTGAAATGAAGTAGCTTGGAGAGTAAACCCTGTTAAAAGGAGAAAGGCTTGGGAAGAGCCCTACGCTGGTCCTGAGACATCCCCTCCTACAGTGGAGCTGAGACATCCTGAGGGCCATGTAGGGACAGCCGGCCAAGATCCAGCAGGAGCTTCCCAAAGACCAGCTGCTGAACATCACACTCACCCTGGAGAGACCTCAGGGTGACTCTGGAGGACACTGAGTCCAGGAGCAGCAGGTAAATCTGGGATTGGAGGGGAGTGGGCAGCCCTGCTTCCTCCATTCACTCCTGGAGCCCTTGGAACCATTCCTAACGGTGAACGAACCCGTGTCGGGGCGACGGAACGGAAGTGGGGTTTGCTGGTGCAAGGGCAAGAGGGAGTATCTTCATTGAGACAGCTTGCCCTGTCCTTCCTGCACTGCTGGGGTCGGAGCTGGGGAGAGGCTGCACACCCCACTGAGGCCGCACCCCATCCGGGAAGTCATGGCAAGGCAGTCAAGGCCACGGCCCGGGGCACAAGAACCCAAAACCCACCCAACAGCTGCATCTGAAGTACCCACAGGAAGAAGACTGCTATCTGGTGAGCGGTTGGCCCCAAAAGACATGTTCGTGTCCTTACCCAGTACCTAAGTGTGGACTTCTCTTGCAGGTATAATTGAGACCCTGCGGGGAAGTCATCAGATCTGCGGCAGACCCTCATCCAAGGGCCATCACCCAGAAGCTAGCCACACAGAGGGGAGGCCAGGAGATGAGAGTCATGTGATCATAACCTAGAAGCCATCAGAAACTGGGGAGGGAGAGAGAGGTCTTTCCCTGAATGGTGTGTAGAGTCTTAGTCACTTTTTTTTTAATTTTATGTTTCAAACCCTTAATAATCTTGCTGATCAGAGAAAGACTGCAGCCCACCCTCAACACCTGGCTGGCTGGGAGCAGCCTTCATGCACAACCAGCCCCGTTTCTGTTCCCTCCCGCTCCTTAAACCGTGACCTAGGTTCACCATGACCCCTCCCCCTGCTTCCAATCCTTCCTAAAGATGCCCCAGCTCAACCCCTGAGTTGATACCAGAACCAAAGTTAGTTGGGGCGTCACAAAGCCTCTAGGCAGAGGTGCCCATTTAGGAGATTACAGGGAACGGAGAATCAGAATATCTCCCTTATATCCCTAGCCTCCAGCAAGGACATTTCCAAAATTGCTGCTTGGGCGCCCTGCTCTACCTGAACAGCTTGTTTTCTGGTCTCATCACTTCCATGATGGTTACCTTCTGGTCTTCTAACCCTCAAGTAGAGCATATTCCCATCCCATCTTTATAGGAGGAAGCCAAGGTGCCTGTGACAATGTCAGTCTCAGTGACATGGAGCCAGGGCTCCAATGGGGCAGGAGTGAAGAGCGGCATACTGGCCCTGGATGCCTCAATCTGGACCTCTGAGTGTTACCGAATGAAAGCATCCATCCTGGCAGACCAAGTAGGAGACCCAGGGGACCACCAGGGGGCAATTGCAACAGTCTCTGGCTGAGGCACTGGGTATAGGACTTTGATTTGGGTTTGCCTGATCAGGGAAGGATATTGCTGACTTACCCACCAGTAGCTGGTCCCTTGGGTCTTCCCGAGAGCACGCTGTCCATGCTCACTGTGGGTCCAGGACACAGTGCAGCTCCTCACAGGGACCTCAGCAGCACAAGTGAATGAGCTTGGCTCATATCTGTCCTGGAAAGCGACAGACATGTGGGACCAGACACAGGATCCAGGAGGACCTGAAATCTAGCGTCTGCAACCAAGCTCTCCCCAGCCCTCTCCAACAATAATGCAGCTAAGAAAAGCAGTCTGTTGGAAGTGAGTGATGGATGGCCAGACAGAACAGTCCATGTAGGCAGCAAGGGGGACTGCATGCTTGATGGGGCTGCAGCCCAGCCTCAGTCACGTGACAACTCCAGCAACAGGCTGCAGCTTCCAGAATGATGACAAGCAGATCCTGGAGGAGGGGTCTTGGAACCCCACCCACCCACAGAACTCACAAAGCAGGCTGTTAAGCCAGGTTGGCAGGTATTGCCTTCACTCCTCCCCTCACCCCCACCCCCACCAAGCCCCACCAACACTTGCTTTCTTAGCCAGAAGGTCTACACCCCCTTAAAACAATCTAGTCCACACAGCAAGGCAACCCTTTGTCCCTTTACACAGTGGGGCTCTGTGTGCCAATTTCCCAGCAGCCCTTGTGGCCAGGTCCCTGCCCCAGCTAACTGTAAAGACAGATGCAGTGAACACTTGATTTCACCCCAGAGAGCTTTTCTCGAAGGGGAAATAACAAAAACACCTGCTTGCACAAGCCCACCAATGAGGGTGGAAGAGGAACTCAGAAAACAGAGCTGGCAAGACGCAGCTAATGTGGACAGTCAACTTGACATGACCTGTAATCACCTAGGAGCCAAACCTCGGAGCATGCCTGTGAGGGTGTTTTTATATTAAGTTAGCTGAGGTGGGATGACACCATGAACATGGGTGGCACCTCCCATGGACTGGGGTCCCAGGCTGGCGTCCTGACAGTGCATGAGATGTGATCGGGTACCTCAGTACCTCATATGCCTTCCGCCATACCTTCCCAGTCATGATGGACTATGTCATCGAGCTATGAGCCAAAACATGCCTTTTCTTTCTTAGGTTGCTTTTGCCAGGAGTAAGTAATAAGAAAAGTAACTAGTAAACAGGATGGGTGTCTGTGCCTTCCAGAGCCAGCCGCCTACCCAAGACAGAGGCCTCCCCAGCTCTGGGTCTCGGCCTTGGCTTTAATCCCAGAGGCAGAGACCAGTGGATCTCTGTGAGTTCGAGGCCAGCCTGGTCTACAAAGCTACACAGAGAAACCCTGCCCTAAGGGAAAAAAATAAAAAGATCCAGAAAACACCCATGGTGAATAGTAGAAGGGAACATTTTTTTTAAAAGCCAAACAGGTTTAACCAAATCCATGAGACCTTCCCCCATACAGAAAACCCTAGGAAAGCACAGGTAACCTTATTCAAGTATGCTCTTAAGTGTGTGCTATAGGTGCCTGACTATTTACACATGAACCAAGAGAAAAACTCAACTCTTCAGAGACAGAAATCCAATCACCTTGCAGAGCTCAAGAGGACAGCATCGTCTCCCCCCACAGATAAAGTGCCCCCGTCCCAACATTAAGGTTTTAAGAAATTAAAATTAAACATTTACTTTTCAATCACATACAACAGGACACCCCAGACTCTGTATACTCTGTCCTTCCCTTGGCTGGCCCCTCGCTTGGTCTATGGAGGACCGGGTAGGAGACACTGAGAGGGACTTGGGGAGAGACCCCACAGCAGCCTTACTCCTTTGCCTGTTGGCCCTCTCCGACAAGGTTTGATCAAATATCTTCCGTGCCCGGGCAAGGATGCAATTTTCTCTACGCAAGAAACGTTTCCCATTGTATGTTCTCCTGAGCACAACTGACTTCACCCTGTGGTATAATAGCCCTCTTTTCTCGCTCTCCTTTTATTTTCTTTTTATAGTGAAAATTGTTTTTCTTGCAGTGCAGGGACACCAGGAACACGCTGAATGAATAGCAGATTTCCCTCCCTCCAATGAACAACGGGGACAGCATTGTACCCAGACAAACAGAGCTGAGAACTTGGGTCCTGGGGAGGAAAGCCTCGCCTGGGAGAAATCTTAACAGCAAAGAGGTTAGCATTGATCAGAAGTCGTCGGGGGCCTCTCTGTGTGAGTTTGTCCGTAAACGAAAGTCTGCATTGACTTTCATTTCGTTCTTATGACAACCATCGCTGCTGAGCGCCCAGCTTCCCCTTCTCACTGAGCTGTCCCTTTCCAATAACTTGCTTGCATGGATCTCTTTCCTGGTTGGACCAGAGCTGTCCTCTCCACCCCTAGCCCTGTGAACTCGAAGCCAGGAAGCTTCTTCAGTCCAAGTCACCCTTAAAAAGGCAGGACTATCCAAGGGCAACTCCTTAGGTTTCCCAGACACTATTGATAGTCGAGCTTGCCCCTTTGGGTCAAGCTCCCGAGACGACCATGAACACAGTCTCTGTGCTAGCCTTGGGAATGGAACAGTAAGATGCTACAGCAGTTTCAGCAAAGGACGGGGTATCCTGCAGTGTGACCTACTGAGGAGACCTGCAGTGGGAAAAGCACAGAAACGGACCACCTGCACCGATTCTGGAGCCAGGGAGGCTGGGGTAGCTGTGGCAAACAAGCCAGCAGAGAAAGCTGGCCGTGGTGAGAGGCTGAAGTTCTGGAGGACGGAACTGGGCTGATGAAGGCTTGTCAAGGTCATGGCTTTGTCCTAAGGATGTCCAGAGCCTTCTCACGCTCTCTCACCCTTTTCTCAAGGTCAGAAGTGTACTTTTAAGGACCAGGCTAGAGGCTGCCACTGGACAACACTGCCCCTCACTATCAGAGCCACAGAAAGCCATGCTAGAACATCAAGTTTCAATGGACGAGAGGTATCAAGGGTAGGAGCACGGTCTGGGACAGTCATAGAAAAAAATTGCTGGGGAAGCCAGGGACATTCTGGAATCACCCAAGCCAACAGCTCTTGGCACTGGTCAATGAAGAATTGACCGATAAAATAATAAACCTGCCAAGAGGTGGGAAATAGCAAAGGGATTTATTGTCACTGTTGTTGAGGAGGGGGCTGATACGAAAGAAAGGAATTTATTGTGGGGGGCACACAGGTCACAGCATGAGTATAGGGTCAGAGGACAAGACTGTGGAGTCGGTTCTCTCCTTCCAACTTTCTAATGTTCATGAGGTAAGTGAGGTATGGCAGAGCTCTGAAACAAACTGAGTTTCCTGGAGAGCCTGAGGTAAGACAGTACTGCAACAGGAACTTCAGCAGAAGCCATAGGCCTGAGTTGGGGGGTGGGGGTGAGCATGCCCATTCTCCCTAGAGAAGTGACTTGCTTCAGCACAGGTGCAGGTCAGTTTGGTCACATGGACCAGGGGTTTGTGGTAGCAAGGACTGGGCTATTGTGAGGCTTCTCTGTCTGTGGACAAAGGGACATGTTATCTTTTAGGGACAAAGATATCCATGTAGCCAAAAGGGGCGCCAAGTTAGCCTACAGCTCCGGTGTCCTGGGACATAAGCTCCTAACCACAGAGTTAACTTCTCAGCTCTAAGAGGTGATACCTACAAATCCCACACGTCAAAGAACACCAGAGGCAGAGGACAGAAAACAAAACCAAAAAGTCACTGCTTTGAAAAGATGCTGACGCCCAATTCCCAAAAACACAAAGAAAAATCAATGTTGTAAAACCATGACCACGCATCTAACCAGTGGGAGACTGAAATGCAGGGCCATGGAGAGAGATGCTGTTCTGCTATATAAGCTTACAGTTCCCAGAGACTAGAACAAAGCAAAGATGATTAAGTCAACAGCAGTAAACCAGAGGGAAGGTCAAATTTTAAAATGCTAGAAACCACCCAGAAAGACAAATATAATATGTACTCACTCATATGTGGATATTAAACATGAAACAAAGGACAACTAGCCTATGGGCCACAACCCCAGAGAACCTAGGCAACAAAAAGTACCCTAAGAGAGACATGTTGACTCTACCTAGGAAGGGGAAAAAGACAAGATCTCCTGAGTAAGTTGGGAACATGGGGGACAGGGCAGAGGGTCGAAGGGGAGAGGGGAGGAGGAAAGGGGAATGGGGGAAAATGTATATAGCTCAAAAAAAAAGGGTGGGCAACGAAATAGCAATTACCACAAAAAATGCTAGAAACAAAAAACAGTTATCAAAATTTTAAGAGTCCGAATGGATGGGAGAAATACTGCACGAAGGGAGAAGGGAGGAGAGGAAGCAGCATTCGATCAGAGCAGACGTGTGTACACGTGGATGGAAATATTGCTCTGAATCTCATTAACACATACAATCGATATGTGTTGGCAAAAAAGGGAAAATTTAATACATTGGAAGTTGGTAATGAAAAATTGACCAATAAAGTAATAGACCTGCCAAGAGGTGGGAATATGAAAGTGATTTATTATCACGTTTTGGTGGGTGGGTATGACATAAAGAGGTTTATTGTTGTTGTTGGAGAGGGTACATATGTCCCAGCCATGAGTGTACAGGTCAGGGAAGAACTTTATGGAGTCGGTTGTCTCCTTCCAACCTCACAAGGATTCTGGAGACCCAACTCGGGTCCTCAGGGCTGCCCGAAGCACCTTTACTGGCTTAATCATCTCACCAGCCCCAGAGAAAGGTGGCTTTGGAGAATGGAGGCCAGGTAGAAAAGACCCCAACTATGCAAAACAGAGATGATACAAGGCGGAGGGGGTGGCTAGATGCCCAGACACCTACAAGCCGGGAAAGAGACCTCAGAAAAAAACCTACTCTGTGATAGCTGACCTTGGACCTCAGCTTCCAGAGAGAGAATGGATGCTTTGTTTGAGCCCCATGGGGCCTGTGGTGCTGGCCGCTACAGAAACCTGCCACTGCTGGCCCCTCGGCACTTCCCAGGTCTGCCCCTTGTGGGCTACAATGTCCTGAACTCACTGCTTCCCAAGTTGAGCTCCCTCCCTCCCTGCAGCTCCAAGATCTGGTCCTGAGGTCCCTGGAGGTAAAGTGTGAGCAGGATCATATGGGTATGTCGACATACCCAGCTGTGTAGAGGGATGCGGTGCCCTGCTTGGAGCTGAGTGTCTAGGGTTTCCTTCAGATTTCTCCAGCCCAGAGAAAAGACAGCTGGCTCTGGTGGGGTAAGCCTACCAAATTCTTAGTGTTTCTTGAATCTGAGGTGGAATGGAGTCACGGGTACAGTGAACTAATCTTTCGTTTTAAGATATGTTTACAAATTCCGTAGAATATTAACTTTGGGTCTAATTATCCCTATTCCTAAATGGAGGTAGACAGTTGAACAATGTCGTGGCTCAGGCTGACCTCGAACTTACTGTGTAGCTTAGGAGGACTTGGAACTTCAGATCCTTATGCCGCCACCCCCTGAATACTGGGATGACAGGTGTGCACCACCACCGGGAGTTAAACCCAAGGCCCCCTCATGCTGGACAAGCACTGGGTCATCTGAGCTCCACCCCCAGCTCCTGAGCACTGCCGTTCTTAAAGCCCAACATATGTGATGAGTTCTGTCCTTGTGGCCGGTGGACCCTCCATACCTGACCTGATCTTTTAAACAAGAATTATTTGATGTTCAGAATGCAGTCAACTTGGGTTAACAGCCCGTACACACCTGTAGTGGGTGTGTGTTTAATCTTCTGTGTAGAATGTAAAAGTCAGCCAGAGCAGTGGTTGACGGTGTTTTCAAGTCTATGTCCTTTCTGACCATTCCTCTCATTAGGAAAGGACTACTAAAGGCAACGCCAGTATGAAGACACAGCTGTCCCTCCATTCTGTGATTGTCCTCTTCCTGAATTTCTGAGTTCTGCCCGTGGGTATGGGCAAAGTCGGGGTTGTCACTTCTTGTTGGTTCAGGCTTCGGTCAGCATGCATGGTCCCTTTAGATCTCCAGTGGCCGGGTCCCTTTCCCTCGGTACCCTCGGCCCTCCCTGTTCCCTGTGATTAGTGTGTGCGTGCTATGCCATTTTCCATCCTTCACTTCTAATCTCTGTCTTTGTATTTCAGGTTCATTTCCTACGGTTAACATATAATTGAGTCTTGCTTTTTAATTAGAGCGCTGAAACCACTTACATGCGATGTCATTATTGACAGCAATGGGTTAGAGCCTCCGGTTTGCTCTTGGCTTGCCGTCTGCCTGCCTGGATTTCTTCGTTCTTCGGTTTCTCTTCTCCTGGGTTGTTTTAGATGGCATTTTTTAGGGAATTCATTTTATCTCAACTATTAGTTTATTTTTTAAAGATTTATTTTTTTAATGGTGTGTCTCTGAGTGGGACACATTCGTGTGTGCAGACTCCAGAGGCATCTGATCCCCTGGCGCTGGAATTATGGGCAGTTGTGAACTGCCTGGTGTGGGCGCTGGGAACCCCCACTTAGCCACTGGGCTGTCTCTAGCTCTGACACAGTCTGTGTTTCTCATCCACTGCCACACAGCATTCCCCACCTGCCAGGCTGAGTCACACCTCTGTCTCACTTTCCTTCTGCGTATACTATGGGCCTACGATTGCTTTAAGCTGCTGTCCTTTATTAAGAATTCTTTTTAAGAAAATAGAAACTATTTAACATCCACCATTGCTTTCAGGAGTGATTTCTGGAATCGTTCTGCGATCGTCCGCTTTCAGCCTGAAGGAGTTCTTTAAATATTTACCGAAATGCAGGTGCACTCATGAAAATTCTTTCAGCTTTTTTGGGGGATCTGGTGTCTAAAAGTATCTTTGAGAGCTTAGGTTTTGCTAAATATATAACATTTTAGGTTGTGGGTTCTCTTCCAGCATTTTCGTGACACCTCAACCCCAGCTCCTAGCTAGCTAGCATCTGGCTGGAGAACATTACTATCATATCCCTGTGGTGGGTAATATTGACAGTAAATCTGACAGGATGTGGAATTAACTAGGACACTAACCTCTGAGTATGTCTGTGAGGGTGTTTCTACATTAGGCTACTTGAGGTGGGAAGACGCACTGCAGGCGGAGTTTTTCGTTGGACTGCCAGCTCTCCAATAAACACACAGAGACTTAATCATAAATGCTTGGCTGGTAGCTTAGGCTTGTTACTAACTAGCTCTTACAACTTAAACCATGTTTCTTATCTATGTTCTACCATGTGGCAGTACCTTCTTTCAGCACGGCATGCTCATCTTGCTTCTCTTGGCATTTCTTGTAACTCCACCCTTCTTCACCCCGCCCCCCCTGAATTCTCCTTGTGTCCACAAGTACCACCTAACCTCTCCCTGTTTTGCTATTGGCCAGGCAGCTCTTTATTAACCAAAGAGAGTAATACATATTCACAACATGCAAAAAAAGACTATTCTACGGTACCTCCGCCTTTTTGTCTAATTAAACGTGGGTGACTCCACTCCCTGGGCTGGGGCCCTGGACCCAGGGGCAAGGATGAAGGGAGTTGAGCAGCAGCATGCATCTCTCACTGCTCCCTGACTGGGGACACAACGTGGCCAACCTCATGCATTCTTCTGCCACCACAACCTCACTGCCACAGAGAACTGTACTCCCAAACTGGGAGCCAAAAGCTGTCCCCTCCCAGCAGTGAGGAAAGCCACAGCCACAGCTTCTCCTGTTGCCCTGTGAACATGCTTCTTTAAGTCATCTTACTGAATTTGCCATCTCCATTTAAGATGCAGCATCTGATTCTCCTGTCACTTCTGGGTCTGTCTTCGTGTCTAACAGACTCGTGGGTACAGGTCGCCATTTCTGCTGCTGCTTCTTCTGCCTTGTGATTTTGGTTTTTAGTTAGGTGCCAGGCATTCTCAGTGTGACGATGGCTCCTGGGTAAACTTCCCCTTTCTGCCTCGGAGAGTGCTGACATTTGTTCCTGTGGGCCAGGTCAATCCTCTTGAGATTTCTCACTAGGGTTTCTTGAGATGGGTCTAGAGTCGTTTTCTCTACACATGTGGCTTCCTTGCCACACAAGCATGGTTCTTAGTGTTCTGTCCCTTGACCTGAGTGTTCCATGTGCTCTCCAGCTGTATAGGTGGGACCTGGTCACCAGTCTGGTGTAAGTCCTGGGA